TTTTCCTTAAGTCGCAAGCCGTAGTTTGCCAGTAACATACTTACATAAATTCAATTAGTCGTTCCGAGTCGGTTCGCAGAACCCAACACAGCCAGCTTCGCTAATGAAGCCACTTTTCTTAGCCAATGTCTTCATTCGATGGCACAGGGATGTACTTAGAGATGTATAAATAATTTTCTGCTGCAAATGTTACTGGATTTAATTTGACAATGCGAGAACTTTTTCTTTTATGGAATTTATATATTTGAATTTATTTAATAGGGTTTCATTTAAAAAGCGTAACGTTTACTTATTTAGATTTTCGAATTCTATTCATTTTCTGTTTTTGTTTTTTTCTGTAAATCAATACACACACATACTTACTTTAAAATATCTACATGACTAGGTAAATGTCTATAAATGTTAACGTAACATTACACTGAGTTTACTAGAAGTGTTTCACAAAATACGGGGATCCGCAAACCATCTTGTTACCTCAGCCGTAACTCCAAGTCCGCCCCTGTGATCTGTCCACGAGGCACAACCGCCTATTTCGTTCAAAATTATAACTTTATTATTGCCGGTGATTTTGGAAATTAATTTCTCGGGATCGAAGCCAAATTACAGTGAAGAGAGTCACCCCACCGGCTATGAAACATTGAGCGGACGCATCTTGACATGATCCTGCATACTTTTTGACGAAATAGGTTCGCTTTTTGGTCATTTTTTTATTAAAAACGTTGTCCCGCCCTAGGATTTTCTCCGGTGTCGTGGGTGCGTTTACAAACATACAATTTCACATGCATATCACACCCAGACCCGGAACAACAATTCGTGGATCACACAAAGAGTTGTTCCGGGCGGGAATCGAACCCGCGACACGTTGCGCGGCAGCAAGTTGCCCAGCAAACGCGCCAACCGTGCAGTCTATTATGAAATATGTGAAAATAAATCTATTAATAAACGCTATTTTAGACCTTAATTAGACTAATAACAAAGACATGCTTATATACCTACAAAAGCAAAAACAAAACATTTTTTTTTTATAAAATACCTACTTCTCAACGACCCAAGCATTAACCATTAAGCTTTACAACCCGCCATTACTACCAATATTCACATATTTGTTTTACAGTGAAACAAGTGAGACTTGCCAACAATATATGTATCATTAAATAACAAAAAAAAACACAACAGTCTCAATTTATTATCACAATGCAATAACTTCATCCATATTTGGATACGCCTGCGCGGGAAGCACGCCGAGCCGCCATTTTGATAGCAATTAACCAATTACGAGTCCGCAATTTCATATTACACTTTCACGAAAAACGAGAAAATGTCCGAGACTATTTTAATTTGTTCCTTGAAAATAATTCGTTCGCTAGTGTGAAGTGTAGTAAGGAAATTATCGGCTTGTGCGAGCTGATTATGTTGTTCGAACGGGACATTATTACGGAGGAAATTTACCAATTCTTACACCCCGAGTCTGCCCGCGAGATGCGATTGATTCGCGGAATAATGAAATTGTAATGTATACTCGCACAATATTTTGATTGCACTCCGCGATCTTTATTACGCGCCTGTACCCGCATTCAACGACTTCTTGCGCGTAATTTTATGTTTTAGTTCGTTTTACTTTATGACTTTAATTAATTCTTAATGATAGCTTTGTCTATGGTTCTAGTTATAAAACAGTTTTATTATAAAAGTTTATAATTTGTGCTCCGAAATCGGATTCATCGATTTAATTTTATGGTTTTCACACTTTAAATGTTCTAGATATGTAAGTTTAGCATTATTGCTAATATTTCCATAACATTCCATTTCATATTTTCAGTGTAATTGACGTTCAATTTTTGGATAAGAATTCAACTTATTGCAAAAGAAATATAACACGAAAAATTAATAGAGATACAGATATTACCACTACTAAATAGACTGCTTTTAGATTAACGTGGAAAATCTTTTTCTTTATCAATCTACATAAGTAGCAGCTTTAAGAAATAATATCGTTATTTTCCTACCGAAATTCTTAGTAAGCAACTCCATTTTCTGTAACATTCAATAATATCTAGGTCTATTATCAATATTTTGCTGACCAAAACAAAAGGTCTAGTAACAAGAAAACCTGAATCAGTATTATCTAATAAAATACAGTAATAAAGTCCCCAAGTATTACAATCAACGCAAAAGCCCGATAGAAGCAATCAACCGAAACATAGATAAAGATAAAAATCTCTCGAATATAAGTCATAAATTATCTGTATTACAACGAGCTCAGCTACCATAGAGTATCAATTCCCCTTTATTGTTTCCCGTAATAGAAATATAAAAGGCACCACAAATAAAATCGCATTTATTGAATAGAAACATTTAATTCCGGTCTGCGATGTCGTGCTGCGATAGCCTCTCTATGAATAAAATAAAAATATTGTCTTTGGTATACCTACTCTAGTTTTGTTTATGGGATCGTTACTTTACTTTTCATTTTCTTAGTCCTAAATATGATTTTGTAACCTTTAAACGTTATTTTGCGGATTTATGTCGTCTATAACCATAGCAGCTTGCTTTTGCTTAGTAAGGTAGAACATTCCACTTAAATTCAAACATAAAGCGGCTGACAATGAAAATTCTAATAAATCATTCGTTTGTCTTTGTAACAAGACAACAGAATGTAGCAGAATTATTAACTGTACGAATTTATAAACCGCGTTATACAGCCCTCAAATAGATACTTAGTAAGTCCCCCCCGAGCCCCTCCCTAGTGACATTAAAACATTGAGCAGACTAAATTAAAGCGCGCCAAAACTGTTGTCTGCGGGCCCAAGGCGGTCGTTTGTTTTAATACAATAACTGACACCGTCTCTCTTACTCCTCTCATCAGGGATATGCGTCTGTCTCGCTCTGACGCGCGTAATTTAGCCTTTTCTCTTAAGGCGACAACGTAACGTATTGGCAGTCTGACAAGTAAAAACAACTCAATTAGTCTAACGGCAAGTGAATACTGGATTAATTGAAAACATTCTGTTCATGTCGGAGTGCGCCGCGAAAAAATATTATTGCCTGCAATTATTACACTTCCTAAATACATTCTGCATGATTCATGGCCTTGCTTTTTATGATTGGATACGTAATCACATTTTTTGTTTTAATTTAATCATATTCATTAGCCAATTAAGGTAAAAACCTCTTTTACCATATTATCAAAGTAACAAAACAACGATACATTCAGCGCAGAACAGAAGCGCGTTCCTCTTAATCACTTCTAATTTATTTAGCCCCTCTGAGGACCGAGCGAGTAATTTATAGCTGTCCCTTTCCAACCCGAGGCGGCGGGCGTGTAGCCGTCCTGTTCTCCCGGGACCATTTTTAATTAAAATCACCGGGAGAAAATTAGAAATTATATTCTATTTTCAAAAACTTGCTCTGACGCTTTGTAGGAGATTATCTCTTTTTTATGAGCCCCCGGTCGCGGCTTTTGTTTAACTGCACAGGAATTGGCTGAATGGACTTTGTTCCGACCAAGAGGCTTTTACGATTATGCCTTGTTCATTTCAATCCTGCTTCTCTGATGATTGGAAATGTTTTAAGTTTGCTCGTTATGCTTTAACGATGATGGGACTTAGCCCTTTGCACTGTCATATGAGTTTTAGATGATAGCACTTTTACGTAATTGGGAAGCGTTAAGTGTTGGGCAAGCTTTCAAATTCAATTTAATTCTTACCTTCTCTGGTTTTTAGGTACCCTGTATCTCTCTACCAGATTAGGTATAATTTGTTTTTTTTCATTAGATAGGTCGCCAAACGAGCAAACGGATTATTTAGTTGACGGTAAGCAAGAGCTCCACCCATAGACACCGGCAACAACGGAGTTGTTACGAGCGCTTGCCGACGTTTTGGGGATTAGGGATTTAGAGATTTTGCGATTGGGGAAGGGTAACGATTAGGCCTTCAGTAACCTTACTCACACGACGAAACGGAACGTTGTGTTTCTTTCACGCCGGTTTTCTATGAGCCATGGTATCATTCCGGGCGAGCCGACCCATTTGTGCCGTAGCATGGTTCTCCCACATTTTAATCTTAATTTGAAGTTAAGTAATAAAGATGTTAGTTCTTATTTAACGTTATTATTAAAGAATTTTCCATATTGCCTTGACTGACTGAGAAGTGTCATAAAATGCGAGCTGGTATTGTGTTCGTTTTATTGAGTATCTAAGAAGACGGTGCCTTTATCTTTCTTAATCACTTTATTTTCTGCGAAGTGCTCGTCGTAAGGCAGTGGCAGAGCTTAGCCTACAGCTGTAAGAGGCTAATTTACTTGTAAAAAGTACAAGTAGTTCCTAAGTGTGTAGTACTTTATAATAGTATGTAGATAAAGCTCTCGGATTGTATTTCGAAGAACGTAATTTTCTTACTTTATATGACCCTAAAGTGGTAGCATTTTAAACAAAAATGAAAAGTATAAAAATATAAACAAAAATGAAAACTACCTATAAAAACCTATAAAAATAGAATTGTGTATCACTTTATTACATAAATTGAATTCAAAATCTAATTGCACATTCTTTTTATAAACTGCGTGGTGTTAAACTTACGATGAATAAAAAAAAAATATTCGAAAAACAGAAGAGTAGTAAAATAATTAGTGCAAATATAACGACAGATGAAGTATAACAATACCAATAGTCACCAAAGATTCCCATAAGAAAACAGTCAAGGACTATACATCTCAGGCAGGGAAGTGGGTTAGGTACCGCAGCCTCGGCCCAGAGCAGGAGAAGGAACGTCGGGGGTTTTTAGACAGTAATAGCCTGATACTCCCTATCGCCCCATACACAGGCGGGAGAAGTCAGTTCATGGTTTTCCCTCTCAAAACAAGGACTTAAGAAACTAGGCAACACCGGTCTTGGTTTAAATTGAACCTTTGTAACTGCGATTTGCAACCCGTCTGCCACTAATAAGAGCAATTTTTTTGCAAGTATAAGAAATTGTTTTTCTAATGGTTTCTTTTCTCCCCAGGTGGCGTGTGCGACGATGATGGTGACAGTGGAAAAAGAAGACGATCTCGGACGAACTTCAACTCCTGGCAGTTGGAGGAGCTGGAGCGAGCGTTTCTGGCATCCCACTATCCTGACGTGTTTATGAGGGAAGCCCTCGCTATGAGACTAGATCTCAAGGAAAGCCGAGTAGCTGTAAGTACTTTCTTTTATTAAATTACTTATACAATCATTGAGATAAATATAAAATATTTTTTTACCAATATCATTGGTAGGACATAGAGTTCTCCTAAAATGTATAGTTACCACCTTTGTAAATCTATAGTCCGCAAATAAAGATTGATTTGATTCGACTAACGTATTCAAACAATTTAGTAGTTGGTATTATAATTTCTGAAAAGAGTAAAAGGTTTTTGTGACTTATATCCCTAAACTTTACAATAACGATACTTTAACATTGCAAACACAAGATTATCCTAGCCACATTGAATGAGAACAACCAGCGAAATCACCTAAAACACTCCGGATGTGTTCACAACATTCTTTTAAACTCACACCTACTTCACACTTAAGACAAAACCTAACAAGAAGGGGAGTACTTTTAGCACCATTAACTATTAAACTTTAAATAAACTAGACAGGAAGTGTATACATATAAAAGAATACAAAATTGAGCGGTACTTTCAGCTATAAACATTAGTCATGGGGCTTAAACATCCCATATTGCTTTGTAGTGTCGGTCTCTCGTATTATATTTAGCATGCGGCGAATGGCAACGGTTACACACCTAATGTCTTAATCCATCGACACTTTACGACCCGCCATTTTCTTACCATAGCGAAACATCCTAATTTTATTACGCGCCAAATCAGCTTTAGTACGGCCCGACAGATCTAAGTGTTCGCCGGATATTGACGGATGCCACCATTTTCTTGTCGCTAATAACCGTAGTTGTGTTTGTGAGTTATTTGGAGAAAATGTAACGCATTTTATACCTACATGTGTCTGTGTTTCGTTTCAAATTCGTTTCTATTTTGGCTTCTAAGTCAACATAAATATAATCACGTCATCAAAATAAAGCAAAACATTACCGAGAAGCTGATCTCATTTTGAGGAAAACACAAGAACAAACACGCCGCTGGTACATAAGGGTAAAAATGCTGAAGGTTTCCGTTCAATATAAATGAGGGACGATTTCCCTTATTTTCCCCAAACCTTCCGAGGCTAAGCGGCCGCCGGGGACCGCGCGGCTCGCCGCTTTTTATATAAGCTTTAGGATCCGAAATAATGTTCGACTTGAGATAATACAGTTTTGAATGGACGCCGTTTTGTGGCCAACCCCTGGCCATATACGAATTGATGGCATTTTGTTTCGGCTTTTACCTCCGAACGGGGAAGTATTGCTTCCACCCTTCCTTATTACGATTCAGCAATACGTCTTCTGTTTTGTTTTTTGTGTTTGAAAACAAAAATACTGTTTTAATTTTTGTCTGATAAAAAGAAAACTTTTTGACATTATTTCTTATTGATTCAAAGGTTGTATTTAAATCTAGGCGAATTTTCAAACTAAAAAATGTACAATTTAAAAATGTTATTATATTACAAAGTATAACAACAAAATACTTTTCCGCAAAGCGTGTATAAGTACCTAAATCCATTTCTATAATCAGTACTAACGTCGATCGTATCCGACACTTATCGCGGCGGATCTCGCTCTGAGAGACAGACTATCCCGCACCACTCCTAATAGTTGGTATAAATCAAAAGATTGCAATCTTGGCGGCACCCCTGGGACGCGAGTGAGACGGCACGATTGAATAGCATAGATTTAAATGGGCGGGTCAGATAAGGATGGCTGCAGATCGCTCCGCTCCGACCTCGGCCGCGTCGCCGCTCCTAGGGACGTCACAATTCGATTACAGCTCAATAAAGTTAAAGTGACTTGTTTGCGTCTGTAAAGTGGATTTTTTCCTCTTTGATTTCTCTATTTTCTTTCATTCGTTCGACGTCCCGGGCTGCGTTTCTGATCGCAGTTAATATTGACTTGGATTTATAGGCTTCAATGGAACCTATTACATTGAATCTAAAATAATTGTGTGTCATAAATGTGACTTCATTGAAGAATAATTGAATAAGAATGAATATATGTATGATTTTCTCCAACATGAACGAGTATGATTAGTATATTTTATTCAGTAGCGTTTTATACGAATGTGTGGGATACGTTGGAACATTATGCGAGCATTAAATAAAGCTTTGTCGGTTTCGGAGAGACGGCAAATGTAATCATGGCCTTACATAACATAAGAGTTTCGCGAAAGACGTTAAAAGCCCATTTTTTACTGTAAGTGGCATATTCTAATCTAATTTCATCCCTGCTTGACGTAAACTTGTGAAAACGGCTCACTCGCTCCGCCGTAAGCGCGGAAGTATCGACTTCATTTTAAAATTCATAGCATAAAATTTACATTTATATGCCAATTTCATTCCCTAACAGGGCGTCGGCGGTCGCACGCACACATCAGTATTCCACACACATCCGGCGCTGCCTCGGTACACCCCAAAAGTAAAAAAAATAGAAAATCTCCTTACATTCTCTGCTCGGTTGGGAAGAAAAAAGAATGGCGCGAGGTTTAAATATGGAACACTAAATGGAACGCTTAGGCGACAAAATGCGGATAGAATATAAAATTTAAGGATCGTTGTCTGTCCCTGTTACTCGCCTGTAGCGCGTCTCGCTCCATCCCTTTCAGCGGCCGTCGCTATCAAACACAAGCCGACTTCACCGCCGTAGGCTTAGCGGTAAAAGATAGACATGAGACCTCTACAGGGTTGCTCCTGAGGCGGTGAATTATCGTGCATGAATAATTTTCTCACTAGCAAACAAGATTTGCTTCGTATTAAATTGCTGTAATGTAATTACTGTGCCTAATGAAATGCGGCGCTACATATGCGGACAACCGTATAATTTGAACATTAAACATGTTTAAAACGGAGTTGTCATCTACGTTCGTTCATTAATTTGTGGCCTTTCGATTAAAATTATACGTACTTGACACTGCATTAAGTATCATTTGTAAACCACGATTGAAAATATGTTGCATGAATTTAATTATCCGTGATAAATGATAATCTGCTGTTAAATATTAATCAACGCGACTCGTTTGAATTCCCGAGTCACTTTGTATTAAAATAAATATTCAATTAATATTAGTTATAGAATTTTTTAACGACAGCCCTATTAGGAATCGCTTAGCTGGCAATAGGGACGATCCCGCGAAATGTGTATCTGTCTCTGTCACTCGTACGTCTGTATGTAGTTTTGTACCCTCCTTTAGAGAAAGAGACAACGTGCGCTGAAATACAGCGTTGTTCGTGATCACGGGATTGTTTACTGGGTTGTTTACAAATCTGTTAGTATCAGCAATACTTTGTTTGGGAATAAACTTGCTATCCATTTCTTTGGACACAGCATTCTCGGCAAGGCTTTATTGAACAAGACCTTTTTTGGAATAAAAATATATGATAGAATCTTTGATGCAATGATTATAAAACAGGCTTTTTCCTTTAACATTACTCGGTATAATTACAGGTATAAATAAAACTTTGAACTATTTGTATACCGAAATTCATCAAAATTAAATTAGCGGTTTAGGTTTGACGAAATATACACGTCCAACATTTTCTCCTTTGATGTTATTCATCCTTATTTTCACTTACAATTTCCATGGTTTCTATGAAAGATCTATTAGGTAATGTTATGAGCAAATATAGTATTGAGACTTTTGGAAAAACTATTAAAGAGGTTTGAAAGGTACACTTTTTTGTGAGGAGAAATCATCCAATGACTTCTCCCGTCCTGGGTGGGGCGGGGCGAGGGGTTGTTTCAGACTCATGCTGACTAAAAACCACCCGTTTCTTCTATCCAGAGCCGGGGCCCCGTCATTGCTCTTGCACCCACAACCCTGTCTGGACATCGGCGTTAGGGGCCCCATCGGACAATATCCAATCATCAATTAAAATAATTAAAAAAAAGTATAGATAGGAATAGGAATACTACAATTAGTTGAAGTTTAATTGTCATTTTTTTTCTGCTCTACTAATAATATCTACTGATTTATTTCGTTGCGGGATCCAAGACAGTCATGTCATTCATGTCCCTGAGACGCGTCGGATATCAGTTTTCCGGTATTTTCGTGGTTGAATCTACTGCAGACCCTGTCTAACAGGAGTTGCAGCGGTTTTGGGGATAGTCTTATAAAAACACATACCTACATACATAGATACATATTTATAAGACGTACTCGTCCGTTTAGAAAACAAAACGTGATTTATTAAATGAAACGTGCCGTTTAGCAAATATATTTAAAAGTTCTTTATTAAAATTTTATAGTGCAAGACAATTGGCTAGTAACTAATAGTCAGCCATAAAGCTATTGTTAGTAACATCGTAATTTTTTTTATAATAGTTAATATTATCTTGTGCAAAATACTTAAAGAATAGAGTTCCGTGTGATAGCTTCTTTAAGGAACAGAGAGTAAAGTTCCCTAAGATTGGAAAAGAGGATTCTCCGACTAGACAAGTTGCCTGAAAGGCACAAGCAATGGCACCTAAGTTTGTGGTGCGTCGCGTTCCGCGCACGCCTCTAAGAGCTAATAGACCACCACACACCACCACAGACGGGGTCCAACATTTCCTATACTTAGCCAGGGTCGCTCGTCAAGCGCAATAAGCCGCGCAATAAGCCGCGCAATAAGCACCGCGGCTTCGGCTTAGAGTAGGAGAAGGAACGGGGGAATTTTTAGTCAGTAAGAGTCTGACACTCCCTCTCGCCGTACCCTGGGCGAAAGATGTCATCTAATGATTTTCTCCCACAAAAAAGGGCACTGCAATTTTATGTTAAGATTTTCTATCCGCGTTAATCTCTTCTAAGTTCTTCTTCTTTGTGATACAGAAGCTGTGACGTCACCAGTAATTTTAATCGTTCACCTACACAGTGCGTCGCCACAGTACTGTCTCGTATAAGAGAATCTAACACCAATACAGTTAGGTCAACGTTGCCACAGACAATTCTAAATTGATACAAATAGTAGATATACATATAATAAGTACGTATACCTATACAACTGTATAAAGAAAATTAATATAAAAAGAACCACTTAACCACCTTCAAACTAGGAAGACGACAACCACT